ATTGCATGTCCGGATTCTAAGCACTGATGGGATTTATTTTTTTAAATGAACGAGTTTGAGGGAAATTAAACAGAAATAGTCTCAATGTTGTCGATCAAAGATCAAAAAAATGTATAAGCAGGGATGTATATATTACTATAAGGATCAATTTCAAGAAAAATATTAATAAATGAAATGCATAAGTTCTCTCACAGAGTCACATTATATGCAAACCACAATCAGTACAACTGCATCACTCGACAGTTGAAAGTCAGAAACGAGGCAAATAATGCTGGACCTTGCTAAGCACATTATATATCTGATCAAGTGGTTTATTGATAAATTACTTATCTTTGTGAGACTTGAACGGACAGGTTCTCCCTCTGCAATATTCTAAGAAGTGTTGTGCATATTTATTATGTGCTAAATTCCTTGGATTGCATAAAGAATAAAAACGTTTCAAGTTTTATGACTGGGAGTAAAAAAAACAGGGTTGCTGCTCAATTTGAGTATAACTTATAGTACCTGTGCATTTTTTTGTCAATTCCAATCGTATATCTACATATTGTAAAGAAAGGGGTGCGGTGCGCCTACTTTAATTTGACTCGATTTTTAATCAATTGTTTTGTGTTGCATATAGGTGTTCATCAAATTTTCTTAACATCAATTTATTAATAAATAGTATATTATTTACAGACACAAGATAAACAAATTAGGTAAAAAAATAAATATTTCCATTTAGATAGCATCCAACATACCGTTTGCCTCCTATGGAGGAACTTATTTCATTATTAGCAAAACGTTCAGGGTACTCTTTAAAATGTAGTAGTTAATCTGTATTTATTACGCAGAAGTTCATCTTGATTGAATTATATTCGTAACCTGTATGTATGTATAACCCAGTAATTAATATTGATTCTATATTATCAGTCAACAAACTTCGTTTGTTACCCATAGTTAATCTTGATTCAACCTTATCCGTTACATTAACAATCTGTGTTTAAAAGATAATCTTGATTCAACCCCATTAGTCACCATTCTGTATTTACTACCCGATAGTTAATCCTGATTCAATCCGCTCAATCACAAATCTGTATTTAATACCTAGTAGTGAATTTTGATTTAACCTATCTTCACAAGTCTGTTTTAATACCCGGTAAGTAATCTTCATTCAACCCTATCAGTTACCATTCTATCTTTACTACCCAGTAGTAAATGATTCAACCCTCTCAATCACAAATCTATATTTGATACCCAGAAGTGAATCTTGATTCAACCTAACGGTCACATCTAATATCCAGTTATTAATTTCGATGCAACCCTATCAGTCACAAGTTTGTATGTTATTAGCTAACTTAGATTCAACCCTATCAGTCACAAGTTTGTATGTTATACCGATTAGCTAATTTAGATTCACCCCTATCAGTCACAAGTTTGTATGTTATACCTATTAGCTAATTTAGATTCAACCCTACCAGTCACAAGTTTGTATGTTATACCGATTAGCTAATTTAGATGAAACCCTATCAGTCACAAGTTTGTATGTTATACCTATTAGCTAATTTAGATTCAACCCTACCAGTCACAAGTTTGTCTGTTATACCGATTAGCTAATTTAGATTCAACCCTATCAGGCACAAGTTTGTATGTTATACCGATTAGGTAATTTAGATTCAACCCTATCAGTCACAAGTTTGTATGTTATTAGCTAACTTAGATTCAACCCTATCAGTCACAAGTTTGTATGTTATTAGCTAACTTAGATTCAACCCTATCAGACACAAGTTTGTATGTTATACCGATTAGCTAATTTAGATTCACCCCTATCAGTCACAAGTTTGTATATTATACCGATTAGCTAATTTAGATTCAACCCTCCCAGTCACAAGTTTGTATGTTATACCGATTAGCTAATTTAGATGCAACCCTATCAGTCACAAGTTTGTATGTTATTAGCTAACTTAGCTTCAACCCTATCAGTCACAAGTTTGTATGTTATTAGCTAACTTAGATTCAACCCTATCAGACACAAGTTTGTATGTTATACCGATTAGCTAATTTAGATTCACCCCTATCAGTCACAAGTTTGTATATTATACCGCTTAGCTAATTTAGATTCAACCCTATCAGTCACAAGTTCGTATGTTATACCGATTAGCTAATTTAGATTCAATCCTATCCGTCACCAGACTGAATATTATTAACCAGGATTTTTTCGTGATTCACCCCTATCAGTTACCATTCTATATACATTACCCAGTAGTGAATCTTGATTCAACCAACTCAATCAGCAATCTGTATTTAATACCCAGCAGTTAGTCGTAATTCAAACTATAGGTTACAAGTCTGTATCTTATATCCAGTAGTTAATCTTGATTAAACCCTATCAGTCAACAATCTGTATTTAATACAAATGCAGTAGTTAATCTTGATGTAACCCAATCCGTCACCAGTTTTGGTAGTTAATATTGATTCAACATTATACGTCACCAGTCTGTACGTAGGTACCTAGTAGCTAATCTGGTTCAACCCTATCAGTCACATGCTTTACTTTTTTACCAAGTAGTTCATCTTGATCGCATACTGTCCGTCAACAGTGTGTATTTATTACCGAGAAGTTAATATGGATTCAAACAATCTTCGTTCAATACCAATAGTAAATCTAAATTGATCCTCATCCGATACGTTACCAGTCTCTGCTAAATACTCAGTAGTCACAAGAAATTAATTTTGATTTAACTATTTCAGTCAACAGTCGGTTTCTTATACCTAGTTGTTAATCTTGATTGAACCCGTTCAGTCACAAGTCTGTATTTAATACCAAGTAGCTAACCATGCTTTAACTCGATCCGCAACCAGTCGGTTTCTTATACCCTGTACTTAACCTTGATTCAACCCGCTCAATCAAAAATCTGTTAATATTCAGTAGTTACTCTCGATTCAACCCTGTCCGTCACCAGTAGGTACGTCATACCCAGTAGTTAGTCTTGAATAAACACTGACAGTGACAAACCTGTATGTGTTACCCATGCAGTAGTTATTCTTGATTCAACCCATTCCGTCACCTGTCTGTATATATAACCCAGTAGTTATTCTTGATTCAACCCATTCCGTCACCTGTCTGTATTTATTACCCAGTCGTTAATCTTGATTGAACACTATCAGTCATCAGTCTGTATCAAATACTCATGCGGTACTCAAACTTGATTCTAGAACAATCCTTTAAAAGTCTGTTTATAATGCCGAGTAGTTAATCCTGATTTAAACTTATTCGTCACCTGTCTGTATTATATACTAAATAATTTATCTTGATTCAACACTATTTAATACCAATGCAGTAGTTAATCCTGATACAACCCAATCCGTCACCAATATGTATAAGATATCCAGCAGATAATCTTGAGTCAACCTTATCAGTCACAAGTTTGTATTTATAATCCAGTAGTTAATCTTGATTCATCACTATTAGGTCACCAGTCTGTAATTGATACCCAGTAGTTAATCTTGACTCAACCCCATAGCTATCCGTCGCCAGTATCTGCGTAATACATAATGGTAAATCTTAATTCAACCTATCCGTCCCAAGTTTGTATTAATTTAACCAGATTTTAATCTTGATTGAACCTTATAGCTTTATATCCGTCACCAGTCTGTACGTAATATCCAGTAGCTAATCTTGATTCAACCCTATCGGTCACCAGTCTGTATCTATTTCCCAGTAGCTTATCGTGATTCAACTCTATCGGTCTCCAGTCTGTATCTAGTTCCCAGTAGCTAATCGTGATTCAACCCTATCGGTCACGAGTCTGTATCTATTTTCCAGTAGCTTATCGTGATTCAACTCTATCGGTCACGAGTCTGTATCTATTTCCCAGTAGCCAATCGTGATTCAACTCTATCGGTCACCAGTCTGTATCTAGTTCCCAGTAGCTAATCGTGATTCACCTCTATCCGTCACAAGTTTGAATTTATTCCCAAACAGCAAATCTGTGTTCAACACGATTCGTCACCAGTCTGTACGTAATATCCAGTAGCTAATCTTGATTCATCCCTACCGGTCACCAGTCTGTATCTATTTCCCAGTAGCTAATCGTGATTCAACTCTATCCGTCACAAGTTTGAATTTATTACCAAACAGCAAATCTGTGTTCAACCCGATTCGTCACCAGTCTGTACGTAATATACAAAAGGTAATCTTGAATCAACACTGTGAGTCACAAATCTTTATTTGATACCTATGAATTATTTAATCTTGATTCAGTCCAATCCGTCACCAGTCTGTATGTATCACCGAGTAGTTAGTCTTGATTCCAACCAATTCATCGTGAGTTATTCGAACCATAGTTGTTTATCTTTATATCGTTATTCAACCAGCTCAGTCACAAGTCGGCGTTTAATACACAGTGGTTAAACCCTATCATGCACCAGTCTGTATGTGATACCAAGTATTTAATCTTGACTCAACCCTATCCGTCACCAGTCTATACGTTATATCCGGTAGTTAATTTTGAGTCAATCCAATCCGTCACGAGTTTGTACGTTATAACCAGTAGTTAATCCTTATTGAACCTAATTCGTCACAAGTTTGTATTTATTACCTAAAAGTTAATATTGATTCAACCCTACCCGCCACCAGTCTATACGTAATACCCAGTACTTCATCCTTTTTTTATACAACCTCATCCGTTACGTTTCCAGTATGTGTTTGATACCCAGAACCTCATTTTGATTCAACCCTATCAGTCATCACTCTGTATTTACCACCCAGTAGTTAATCTGGATTCAACCCTTTCTGTCACGAGCTAGTATTTGATACTCAGTAGTTAGTTTTGGTCCAAACATACCGGTCAGCAGTTAAAATTAGATGTTTTATCCTTAGCACTGCAATGGTATTATGTCGTAAAGGATAATTTATTATTCTATTAACTAGATAATATCCGATCATTCTATTTCAAAGCCTTTTGTTGATACTAAATCAATGTCTTTACCAACGTTAACCCATATGTTATTCTCTATTGAAGAATCCAACTTGACATGCCGTGATGTAAGCTTTCCTTAAGCCTTTGCGGCTATGGAGGACCTCCAGACATACCGGGCCAGGATCGGTCTGTTCCGACACCGCCTTGCCAGTAAACGAAACGTACCCCCACACAAACGGGCGTCATGTAGAAAACGTGAGCAGAAACGGAGGCAAGACCGGACCAAACTGAAAAAAATTCGCGTGGGATCTGCCACAAAACTGAATCCGGTCGCAAGCTCAGGAAAGATGACCTTGGGTATTACACGTCGTTTTGCCATAATCGTTATAGCCATTCTCCTCATGGCAGGTCTTACTTCCGGCCATATGGACACTGGTCAATTCTTTACGGAAAATGAGTTACATACTAATTTCCCAGAAAGTCATGTGATTGGCAAATGTTTTACCCTGACACTCCAGCAAAACTACGTCATCCCTTCGTCCATGTGTGATTGTCTCCTTGGTAACGCCGGTGTACATGCGTACAATGGAAACCCTCGGACACCTGTCAGCAATGATGACACAGTCATGTAATTATGTTTAATCATTTCTGATTTTGTACTGTAATTGTGCACACATGGTTGAACTATCTCAAATTATTGTACCCCTTAGTATTAGCTAATATCTGTAAATACATTGGTACTTTAACATATGTCATATTATTTAGGTTTCGATTGACAATATCTACTAAGGTCACCTGCCAGTGACATTATACCATGACAAGCATAAGACAAGGAGAATAAGACCATAATAAGACCATCTAGTGTAAGTGTTGTTGTATAGCTATAGTCCATACCTTCAATGTATTTACACATCTTACATTTCATTGCAGTGATATGGAAGTGCACGCATTCACACCGTCTGGTAAGAACTCTTTTGTAAAGAACTGTTATATAATCCCTTTCATTTAAAGATTCGCAATTGATACATTGAAACAAACTGCAGTTATAATGTTTTTAAAGAATTACATACAATTGGTATAAGCATAGACAATGTAGTAATTCTAACAGTGTAGACAATATGAGGTTGTCAAATTTTCGGAAGAACCTGCTCATTTATCGAGCCATAGAAAAGCACAGGACACTTACATTACTTATAAACAAAATAGGAATATAATAGGACATAAGTCATCTTTAAATACAATAAGCCCCTCGGATAACGTAAACCAAGGCAGAATATAGCTGATAGCATCGTTTATCAATCATACTGTGTGTGTCCTTTCCTAAATATGATAGTAAACGTACAGAAAATAAATAATCACAGGCAATCGTATTAAAATTGGAACTTCGCATCGCTCCCATTTATTCGCTTCCATGGGAGATATCAGTAAACGGGAGCGATGCGAAGATCTAGTTGTAATCAGATTGAATCTCAAGAAAATTGATTTTCGAGGCCTTTTGCTGTGATAAAGCTCTTCAGGAAAATGATTTTTTGAAGGTACAAACGTTATCGAAGGTTGATTGTAGCTTCAAAATAAAATCATTCTCCTGAATAGCTGTATGGTAGCGAAATGCCTCAAGAATTGATATTCTTTTGAGTATTAGCTCACCATCAGATCATTCAAATCATCCTTCGTCCGTGAACCGTGGTCCGTCCGTCCGTCTTTCGTCCTTAAACAGTTCTTGTTATCACTATTTCTCATAAAGAATTGGAGGGATCTTTCTTAAATTTCATAATTAGGTTCACCTTGGTTCTAAGTGATCGAATAGAGAAAACGGCCGACAGGTGTCTATCTTGGATTCTGACAGTAGAGGTTTGTTGTTGCTGTTTAGTTTTGCGACCTGACAAAAGAGCACCAATCTTGAATTTTAAAAGTGAAAGACAGTTATCGCTATTTCTCAGAAATCACTAGACAGATATTTCTCAAATTTCATATGAAGATTTCCCTTGGTTCTTTATTGTGCACGTTATATTTTGAGAACAATTATAAAAACAAGATAGCTGCAAGAACCACAAAAGATAAAAAAAAAATATATATAAAAAAATGAAAAAAAAACAAATAACATAATCATTCAAGTTTCGAACATAATTGTACTTGGTAAAAAGGACTACAATAGGATGGAGGTAGTAGGCAGTTGTAATAGGATGAAGCTAGTAAACAGTGGTGATAGGATGAAAGTAGTATATGGTCGTAATATGATGAAGCTAGTAGGTAGTGGTAATAGGATAGCGTTAGTAGGCAGTCGTAATAGGATGTATCTAGTAGGCAGTCGTTATAGGATGAAGCTAGTAGGCAGTCGTTATAGGATGACGCTAGTAGGCAGTCGAAATAGGATGAAACTAGAAGGCAGTTGTATTAAGATGAAGCTAGTAGGCAGTCGAAATAGGATGAAACTATAAGGCAATTGTATTAAGATGAAGCTAGTAGGCAGTCGAAATAGAATGAAGCTAGAAGGCAGTTGTATTAAGATGAAGCTAGTAGGCAGTCGTTATAGGATGACGCTAGTAGGCAGTCGAAATGGGATGAAACTAGAAGGCAGTTGTATTAAGATGAAGCTAGTAGGCAGTCGAAATAGGATGAAACTAGAAGGCAGCTGTATTAAGATGAAGCTAGTAGGCAGTCGAAATAGAATGAAACTAGAAGGCAGTTGTATTAGGATAGAGGTAATAGGATGATTTTGTTATAGGATAGCGGCGGTATAGAAGTTTTTACAGCATGTCATCATCTCCTTATGGTAGAGGACCCTGTTAGCATGGCCACAACAACTAATTTAATGCATACAATAATTACATAACTCGCCCATTTTACTATGTCTTATGGCCATGTCATAAATATGGTATAACACAAATGTAATAAAAAAAAACGCAGGTACTACTTTTATTTAATCTACCACATGATAATTTACTTTTTTATTAAATGTTTATTTCATCATTGTCATAATTAATTTCATTGCATTTAAAACTGGTCATTACTAAAAAAAACTCGGAACCTACTTTGCACTGCGCAGAAAGATAATACTACAGTCGAAGTAATTTCAAATTATGAATGTTATGTGATGAAAATAATATTACATTCGTGTCCATGTCATGTTGAACTGATTCAACTCGTTCAATAATTTGATACGATACTCGACTAAATGTTCAGGTCATATAAAGTTATTGGATTCGTTTTATAAATTCAATATGACATGGACACTCGTGTAAAAACCTCTGTTTATTTGTTAAGTTTCAATTGAGAGAATACTCAAGTAAAAGAGGCTTAGAAATCATAGCAGTGTTGTGTGTTGTGATCGATATTACTTGATAATTGTAAAAGGATGATTACAGAATGTAGTTAAATTATTACAAAAGGACGGAGGAAGCGATGTTAAAGCAAAACCTAACATTTTAAAAGAACCGGTGTAGTATGGTAATATGAATGCTATGGAACCGATGTTGTATGGTAATATGAATGCCATGGAACCGGTTTCGTGTTTAAACATATAAACTTGATGTTTACATATGTTTCTATATTCTAGCAACATATCTTTCTGTCTATACATTCTTATTGTGTTTTTCGTGTTTTTAAACAAACTTAATCGACAAATGTAAAATTACAACACAATCCCGTATACAGGTAAACATAACCACTTTGTGCATGTACCTGGATCGTAGTTTTCTCCCCGCCTGGGGCCCTTACGTAACTCGTCGGGTAAGGCCGAATGTGTGAAAATCCAGGTTAAGGGGAGCTATAGGTAAACTAATGCAAATAACAAATACTATTAGTTACGGTCAAACGGTATCGCATATCAGATCTTTGTGTCAGGCACTGGTCAGGTAAAACTCCGGACACTCATAAAATTGTTATTTACCTGTTCTGTTACCTTGGTGCCAAACCCATTCTTGACAGCCTAACGGTCGCTGTAATACTATGTAACACGCATTGTGAAATTGTATAATCTTGATAATTGTGATGAGAAATTACAGATATATACACAGTGTACATTATCGCATACAAGCCTTCCGTATTTTTGTCATTCCGTAATTTTGATCTGCAAATGATACCACATCGCACAGTTGTGCGGAGAGAAGCGCACAACGGGGCGAACGATTGCTAAATCGCACAGTTGTGCGCACCATGTGTGGACGATGTGCGGACGGTGTTTGCACGATGTATGCACGGTGTGCGCACGCTATTTTTGGTGCGTTGTGCGGTCCCACAACTGTCTGGGGTAGAGAAATTTAGAGTGGGGCAGGGAGGCTTCAATTAACCATCATAGTGAAATGAAGGTTTTAAGCATATTTTTTTCTGTTTGACTTTTTCAAACCTAATCTGTTTTAGTTTACATCAGATTGAGGTCCTGAATATGAAAATCACAAAAAATAACTCTGGGGTAGAGAAATCGAGGGTAGGGCAGGAGGGCTTCCACTTCACCATTCTGATGAAATGAAGGGGTTTAGCAATGCTTTTTTTTTCATTTCACTTTTTTGAACCAAATCTGTTTTTGTTAACATCAGTTACATCAGCACAAAAGTTCAGTCTTTTGTAGAGGAATTTAGGGGTGGGCAAGGGGGGCCTCATTTCAACATAACGATGAAATGCAGGGTTTCAGTATTATTTCTGTTGATTTCCTTTTAACCAAATCTGTTTAAGTTTATATCAGTTTGATGTCCTGAATCTTTAAATCACAAACATTAGTTATGTGGTAGATATACTTACGGTGGGACAGGGGGGCTTTACTTCACAATTATGGTGAAATGAAGGTTTTTCGCAAAATGTACTCTTGGATAGAGACATTTAGAGTGGGCAGGGGGCCTTTACTTCATAATAATGATAAAATGAAGGGTTTTCAGCATATTTGTTTCTATTTGGCTTTTCTTAAAACATAGATGTTTTAGTTTATATCAGTTTGATGTCCTGGATAAAAATCACAAACATTAAGTCTAGGGTAGAGGAATTTAGGATATGGCAGGGGGTTTCACTTTACCATTAATGTGAAATGAAGGATTTTCGCGAGTTTTATCGATTTAACTTTTTTGAACCAAATCTGTTTTAGTGAAGATCATTTCGATGTTCTAAATATGAAAATCACAAACATTAATTTTTGGGTAGAGAAATTTAGGGTGGGGCAGGGGGGCTTCACTTCATCATCATGATAAAATGAAATGCATATTTTAAACTGTTTTGCTTTATTAAACCAAATATGTTTTAGTTTATACCAGATTGATATCCTGAATTAGAAACTCACAAAATTAAATCTAGGGTAGAGAAATTAAGTGTGGGGCAGGGAGGCCTCACTTCACTATTATGGTGAACTGAAGGGTTTTCAGCATTTCTTTTATTTTTTTTATTTTACTTTTTTAAGCCAAATCTGTTTTAGTTTATATTAGTTTGATGTCCTACAATGAAAATCACCAAAATTAAGTTTGGGGAAGAAACATTTAGGATGGGGCAGGTGGCCTTATTTCAACATAACGGTGAAATGAAGGGTTTTCAGCATTTTTCTAATTCACTTTTTTTAAACTAAATCTTTTTTAGTTTACATCAGTTTGATGTCCTGAAAATGAAAATCACAAAACCCCACCATTTATACAGAATTCAGTCCCCTTGGCCCAAGATTGCTTGAAACTAAATTAGGACAAAATCCCTGCATCACTATGGTAAAAAAAGGAATTTTAATTGTTTTATCTCTATTTTCCTTATTATGCCATGTTCATATGCCCCCAGGGGGACCACACCTACAGTTTATACAAAGTTGCATCCCCTTGGCCGATGATGCTTCAGACCAAATTGGGATGAAAACCCTTCATCCCTATGGTAAAAAAGGAACTTAAAAGATTTAAAGGTCTACCCTACCATTATGGTGAACTGAATTATCTCGCCCCATCCTAATTTTTCTCTCCCATACTTACTTTTTGTTATTTTCATATTCAGGACACCAAACTGATGTAAACTAAAAAAACAATTGCTGAAAACCTTGCCCACCTTAAATTTCTCTACCCTAGACTTAAACTTTTGTGATTTTCAGATAGAACAATCAAATTGAAGTAAACTAAAAAAAAAACACGAATGGAAAAAAGTATATTTCACCATTCTTCACAATACCATGCTACACCGGGATCATTGTTATATAACAGAGGTAATAGGGGCATTACATTAAATGGAGGTTATGACGGTATTAAATATATCTCAAGTGTATTATAAAAAATATCTATCCAGTTTAAGCTGTCCGTATAATATAATAGGCATATTATAAGAATATGAATTATCCACCTACAAATGTACTATAGATTATTATATTTAATCTAAAATTATGTTGCTTACATAGCCCTACATTGAAAACTCATTTTTACATTTAATAGAGGGTCAGCCGCTACAACCCTTCCTGGAAGTAGGCGGTGATGAGAGGTCAACAATAAACCAGGTAGGTATTATACTTGTAAAATTATCTTGATTATTTTACCATATCGCAGTACTAAAAACAAAAACATCCTCTAGTGCTCTGGGCCCATATTCATGTGAAGTATTTTTTTGGACTGGCTCGTGTAACAATGATGGCAACATTTCTAACTAGTATTCTTACTGAAGGTGATGCATTCAAATTTATTAAAGGTCACTGATTCAAATAAATATTTAAATAATTTCTTCTCGAGGTCAAGAAGTCTCAGATTCATGGTATTTGACAATTATGTAGCTCGGTTGGAATGCTAACAAATGAGGTCAATCAAATGACTTTGTTATTCAATCAAAGTCACAGATGTCAAATGTCAAAAGCCTTTCAATATCTTTTTTTAAAGTAAAAAAGACCTGGGATAATGACATTTGACAAGAATATAGCAGAGATGGAGGACTAACAATTTTTTAATGTGAATGATTTTAATCTTCAGTCAATGTCACATCGTTTAGTTATGTTAAAGTATTTAAATGACACCTTCTCGTGTTCTATAATACCTATAGTCATGCGTTTTGCCTCTTTGACTTTAATTGAAGGTCAACTGTTATTATCTTTAAAAAAATGATGGTCCTTCATCCCAGGGGGTGTTGTCTGAGTGCCAATACATTTACAAACATAGTACGTTTGCTTTATTTTTATGAAAAATAAAATCTCAGAAAATAAATCTCAATACAACTATAAATTATTTACTTACTTACTCAGTCCTTGCTATGCCTGATGGCATAAAGGGCGAGGACAAGTTTCCTCCACTCTTCTCTAATATTTGCTTTTCTTTCTTTTGTGCCCCAGGTGTATCCTCTTTCCTATTTTCATTTTCGATAGTTCGCCTTCACGTTGTTGTTGTTGGTCTACCACTTTTCCCTTTTCCCTTCTGGTGTCCATCTCAGGACTACCTTGGTCATGGCTTCAGATGATTTCCGCAGAACATGACCAAGTAACCTCCATCTGTTTTTAGCTCACCTGCCTGAAGTGCAAATGAGCTTATGCCGTACCGCGGTGTCAGTCTTCCGGCGTCCGGCGTCAACTTTTCCCTTTAAAAGCCTTTATCTCCTGAACGACTGATTGGATTTTAACTAAATTTGATATGAAGCATCATTGGGACCAGGGGGTCAATAGATAGAAATAAGGGTGTGGCCCCCTAGGGGGCCAGAGTTAGGGGCCAAAAATGGGAAAATTTAGAAAAAAATCCAAAAATCTTCTTCTCCAGTTCTAGAAATGCTAGAATCAAATATTACCTTTAGCTGTAAAGGCATTTGGGTGGTTTATACCATTTGTGATTTATATAGGAAATAGACATGACGGGTCATATCTTCCATTGTTTTGAAAATAATTTGTTCATATTTAAGAGAAATACTCATTGGTTGAGGAGGGTCTGCTGATATAAATCGTGTGAGCCGGCCCCCTCTAGGGGGCTGAATAAGGGGCTGAAAAGGGGGGAATTTAAGGAAATTTCAAAAATCTTCTTCTCCAGTTCTAGAAATG